GGGGGGGAGGGAGAAGTTGGGGTGGTGGAGAGGGAAGAGATGGTGGGGGAAAAACAAAGGAGGAGGTAACAATGCTCAATAGGAAATGTACTTATTGCCCTACTTATGTAACTGTAACCCTTCTGTACAGTATTTTTACAATAAAAAACATTTTAAAAAAGTTTACCATGAGTCTTAGAGAAGATGTTGGATTTGTACTTTTGAGCTTTGCTAAGGCTGTTGACAATTTGAAGCCTCTTGATGATTGAATGTATTTTGCATTATGAGAGGGACACAATTTTTCGACATTATATTTTGGACCTAACTTATATTTTGGAATTGTTTTCAATTTTTCCTTGAGCTTAGTGAACTGATCATTTATAAGTTATACAGTTCTATTAAGAACATATTTGGTTAGAAATCGAATTTTTGGTAGGTGAATACAATCATAATATTCAATGTACACATATGAAATAGAACCAGGAGACTTGAGAGGATGGGTGGAGTTGGGATGAAAATGATGGAGGGGTGACATCAATGAAGATGCATTGTATTCATAAACATGTTCAATTTAAACCTTTTTTGCACAACTAAAGATAATTTTTAAAAGTTGAATTTTTATCACACTCAAATCATTTGCCAGTATGAAGGCAGTCTAAACACACAAGTAGTATTCCTATGATGACATAAAATATTGAAAATAACCATTTTATCAGAACTGCCTTTTAACAATTCACTTAAATCCTTTCTGGAATCTTAAATCTATTATAAAAACACAAATTATATTTGTGTTCATTTTTTCAGTATTCTATAGACAGAAAATATTTCTTGAGTAGTCAGTTTTGTTGCTGTTGTTTTTGCCAGTCCTGGGGTTTGAACTCTGGGCCTAGTCATACTGTCCCTGGGATCCTTTGCTCAAGGTTAGCACCTTACCACTTGAGGAGCCACAGTGCCACTTCTAGCTTTTTTCAGTTTTCTGCGTGGTTTATTGGGGATAAGAGTCTCAGGGACTTTCCTGCCCAGATTGGCTTCAAATCGCAACCCTCAGATCTCAGCCTCCTGAGTAGCTAGGATTGCAGGTGTGAGCCACCAGCGTCCAGCAAGTAATGTTTTTAACATTCAGCATATATCCAGATTAGCATTATTTTAAGTAAACAGTCCTGAGAATTTCCTCTTCTTGTTATGTAATACATAGTAAAAATTATGCTTCCTTTCTCTTTTTTGGAAGAGTCTCCTGTCCTTATTTATTTTTTGTTTTCCTTTTATAAGTATATATTAGTTGTACAAATAATTTCTTTGAGGTACTTTCATATATGCATAGAACGGACTATTATCACACCCCAGCTTCCATGGTTCAGATCATTAAGTGTTGCCCAAAGACTCATGCTTGTTAATGACGTGGTCTCCAGCTAATGGCCCTATGGGAGCTAGTGGAACCTTTTCAGACATGGGATCTAATCAAAAGAAATTAAGTCATTGTGGGCCTGCTCTTTCAAGAGATATAGGGAACCTCTTTCTCTTCACCTGGCTGCAGTGAGGTAAGGAGTTACCACTTCCATCCAGTAGATCCCATGATGATGAATGTGCCAGTGCAGTGAAACACCTCATAGTTACTACTTTTAACAACTTACTACTACTACCCTGGGGCCAACAGACATGATTGAACTGAAGGCATCTTTCCCACTTTGTACTCTGTGTGTATGTGTGTAAATGTGTGTGTGTGTGTGTGTGTGTGTGTGTGTGTGTAGGTCATGAGGCCTGAATTTGCTCAGCTCTTCAGCTCAAGGCTAGTGCTCTACCAGTGGAGCCACAGTGCCACTTCTGGCTTTTTCTGCTGAGGAATTGAACCCAGAGCCTCATGCCTACAAGGCAAGCACTCTACCACTGAGCCACCTTCCCAGCTCCCACTTTGTACTTTTAACAGGTCATAGGAGCTTGTTTGAGGCCATTTTGGTTACAGATTAGAAGAGCACATTCCACATACTTAACAGGTTGTTTGGAAACAATAAAAGAAGCACACGTGGGCACTGGCTTTGGATAGAATTACTACAAAAATCAAATACTCGGAATCCTGTTTCTTTATTCAGACATAAGTAATCACACAATTAGCAGTTTTCTGCTGACAATCATTATCCAAACACTCATACTTCCATAGTTTTATGCCCATGTAGTTGTGCTCACCTGTAGTTCCACCAATCTGGAGGTGGAGGAAGGTGAATTCAAGTTCAGTGCCAACCTAGAAACATGTTTCCAAGCCAAATCAGCTTGGGCTACATAACAATGAAGAAGTAAATAATAAATGAAACAATAACTTGACTATAGAATCATGATCTAGACTCTTACAACCAGTCTTGAGTCAAATGTGAATGCTCAGTTTTGCTGGCCAGGTTCTACTGAAAATAAAGACGATGATTACCATATCACTTGAATCCTACCACATATGCCTGGCACCGGATGAGTGCTTTTATATTCATGCTTTCAATTGCCAGGCTGTGAAGGCACAAAGCATGAACACCACCAAATACTCCAGCAAAAATATTGTGCTCAGATCCTGCTTTCTTAAGATAACTGTAACAAATCAACCCATGACTCCCTGATAATAGGAGCAAAACAAAACAATATACAATATATACCTTCCTTTGTAGAACATGTGTAGTGCATAGGTAACCTGGTGGATTAAAGCATCCCAGAAGGAGAGAAGATAGTAGGGCAAAGCAACATGTACAGTGTTGAGAGATGTCATAGCCAACACTGAAACACTTAACAATGAGGAGTAAAAATAGTGGTCATAAGACTAATGAGTCCAGGTCACAGAATTCAGCCTCCTACCAAGAATATAAAACCAGCAAATAGTGGATAGGTAGACTAAAAAAAGACATTTGATACATGTAAGTATAAAAGAGGGGGAAAATAACCCCAAATGTAGGCCATATAGAAAATAATAGATACAGACTTTATATGACAAGATAATCTGTATTTATTGTGGGGTTTTTGTTTTTGTTTTGAGGTTTTTATTGTCTTTTGGTTTTGTTTTTTTTTTTTACAGTACTGGAGTATAATTTCAGGGCCTTGTACTCTAGACCTTTTGCTTTAGTTATTTTGAGATAGGGTGTCACTTTTGACCTAGGCAGGCCTAGACTGGCGTACTATTCACACTTCACAGTCATGCACCACTGCACCATCTTTTTCTGTTGACATGGAGTGGGAAGACTGAACTTTTTGCTCAGGTTGGCCTTGAACCACAACCCTCTTAATATCAGCCTACTGAGTAGTTAAAAAGATTACAACTATCCCACCAGGTACTGGTGGCTCATGTCTGTACTCCTAGCTATTCTGGAGGCTGAGATGTCCCCAAGACTCTTAACTCCAATTAACCACCAATAAAAGAAATGGAGCTATGGCTCAAGTGGTAGAAAGCTATCCTTGAGCAAAAAAACTTAGGGACAGTGCCCAGGCTCTTAGTTCAAGCCCCAGGACCCATGCGTACACACCACACACACACACACACACACACACACACACGTGTTACAGCTACCTAAGGTGTGAGATATTGAAGTTTTGCTTTTTATTTCTCTAATCAATTTTGATGTGAAGGTGCTGTTTGCCAACTTTTCTTTTCTTTGAAGAAATGTCTCTTTGTTCACTTAGAAGGGGTATTTGATATTCTGTTTTTTGGTTGTAAGAATCTTTTATATATTTTGGATATTACCCTTATCAGATACATTTGTAAATATCTTTACCAATCTATATTGTCTTTTCTGTTTCATGACAATACACTTTAGTGCACAGAAGTTCTAAGCTTGGGGGAAGTCCAGTTGTTTTGTTGTTGTTGCTCATGCTTTCAATATCCTATCTCAGAATCCATAGCCAAATCCAAGGATATAAACATTCATTCTGTGTTTCCTTCCAAGAGTTTCATTTTTTTTTTTTTTTTTGCCAGTCATTGGGCCTGAACTCAGGGCTTAGGCGCTGTCCCTCAGCTCTTCAGATCAAGGCTAGTGCTCTACCACTGGAGCCACAGCGCCACTTCCGGCTTTTTTCTGTTTATGTGGTGCTGAGGAATCGAACCCAGGGTCTCATGCTTGCAAGGCAAGCGCTCTACCACTGAGCCACCTTCCCAGCCCAAGAGTTTCAATTTTAAGCACATTTTTATCCCCTTAATGTTCATATAGAAAGATAACCTGAATTGGATATATATATATATTCTTTTATTTTAGCACCTCATACTAGGGAAAACCCTACAAAAATAAGTCCTTTGGTGACTTATTTTACCTAGCATAATGTTCTGTAGGGTTGTTCATGTTGTATTATTTCAGAAATTCCTTCACTTTCTGGTATATATGTATATGTACATACACACACACATTTTTGAAACTCCATCTTCAGTGGACACGGGTGTTTTTCACTTTTTGGCTATGAACATGGGTGCACAAATTTCAAGCCCTTGCTTTGTTTTTTTTAGAGGTATATGCTGAGAAGTGGAATTGTAGGATCACATGATAATTGGGGTTTTTTTTTGTTTTTTGTTTTGTTTTGTCGGTCATGGGGCTTGAACTCTGGGCCTGGGCCTGTTCCTCAGCTCTTCATCTCAAGGCTAGCACCGTACCACTTGAGCCACAGCGCCACTTCCTACTTTTTTCTGCTTATGTGGTGCTGAGGAATTGAACCCATGGCTTAATGCATGTGAGGCAAGCACTCTACCACTGAGCCAATTTCCCAGCCCATGTAATTGTTTTTAATAATTTGAGGGACCCACACTGATTTCCACAGTGACTACCCATGTTGCATTCTAACCAAGTGCAAATAATTCTAATTTCTCCGCATTCTCATCAGCACTTGGTATTTTTTTTTGTTTTTTATAGTATTATCCCATGAGATATTAGGTAGCGTCTCACTGTGGATTTGTTTTACATTTCTGAAGTAGCTATTGGTATTGTGTATCTTCTTGTGAG